TTGGCGCTTTATAAATAAATTTAATTGAATTGAAAAGGGCAGATTTGGTGCACACTGTCCATATAAAGCATCAAGTGAGTCCAGTCTGAACATGATGACTTGATGAGGTGACTGGAGTCTGGTGTGCTATTGCTTGGTTGGAAAGAAAACCTGCAGCCACATGGCCCTTTCTGCAACCTCTTTGACACCTGTGCTATGGCGTGTTCCATATATCGGGGTTGTAATGAGGGATTATTTGAGCTTGTGGTGTTTTTCTGTCAGGTTCAACCAGTCTGACCTCATTGACAAGGCCTTCCCTTTACTGGATATTCTCGCTTTTTTTGACCCGTTTTTTTAATTTAAGAATGTAAATGCAAAAAATCTCTGTAAATCAGTGGTTCCTGGAAAAACTGCAAGCAATGTTTCTATCCTGTTCAAACTTACTGAACTTCTCTTCCTTTCCTGTTCTTGGAGTCAACTTTAAATATTTACATGTTCTCATCCAAATTGTTTACATGTTTTTTCAGATATTTAAACATTCATCTGTATTTTTATGAAGAAGTAATTCATGGGGCAAAAACACTGGTGTGTACAGAAGAGGAATCAGAGCCAGCTGTGGTCAGACTAAATAAAAGACACAAATATGTTCTTTTGATTTTATTAAGATGAACTATAATAGGAATATATTAAAATACATTTATATTAAATTGATTTAATAAAAAAAAACAAGTCCTGGTTGGTTTAAAATGGTTATAAACTGTTGAAAGTACTATAAAGGGTAACCAGAGTTCATTACAATATTAGTTCATTAAATAAAATAAATTTTGGGTAACTTTGTCAATTAATGGATGCATGTGGGATAAAACTACAGAAATGCATAGATTGTAATATAAGTGGTCATATTAAGAGATGTTGTACTACTATTTGACTTCTGCAGCACAATGGCATTGTGCTACTCTAACTTAAGCAACAGAAATTGGGCAGCGCTTGATGAAGCAGCCTAGACAGAACGCACCAAGTAGAATTCTGATAACTTCCTGTATTTTTTCTCTTTTGCAGTTTTTATGCTATATATGTTGCAATAATAAATATGTTGCACTGGAGATGAGTTGGATCACCATTTTTAAAAGTTCACAATTAAAACTTTCCTTTTGGGTAAAGCTTGTTCTGTTCAGCTGTGACACTATGCTGGAGGGCATCAAAATCTGGCATTATAGATCATATAGTTGGGTCTGTTTTTCAGTGCTTGGTCCTGGTTCTCTCCTGGACATAGCTCTGGGCTCAGCTTTTACTATGAATAACTGTATGTGCCCTCTTTCATATTTTTTGACATGTAAACTGGTTCACAGCTTATCTGCTTAAATATTTGTGGATAGACAATCTCATTGGCTCTACCTTTCTTATATACATCATCCAAAATATTCAATTATCTAGAGCAATTTTCTATATTTATGCTGTTATATGCTTAGGCTGCTGGAGGACATAGGTACAACTTTTCATCATTCTATCTCTTTTTTACCATTCTGTAGTATTAGTACTACTCATAACTTCTCTCTGCTTTTTTCTGTCATAGTATCTTGATCTGGTCTGTTCCTGTTTGGCTCTGACTCCATCTGTAAAATCAACTGTACTGCTGCCATTAAGATATTTGGTTAGAGATGTTGAAGCTTGTCTGTGAAGATTCTCAGCCAACCAGGTCATGGTCAAGCTTGAATCATATATTAATCTCAGTGCTTCCCACTTCACATTAGAACTCAGGAAGCATCTTGGATGGGAGGCAAAACATCTTTTAGTTGCTTAAAAGGAACTTTTCAGGCATGTTGAAGCTTGCCATGTTTTTTGGTGTTATGCCGTTTCTTTTGCTGTCACTAACTGGATGTGCTCTTTTTCATCCTCTGACATGGGAGCAGGCTGGGAGCTCGTCTGCCTGGCTGTATCTTTCCTGGACGAGGCCATCAGTGGAGCTAGTTAACAGTTACCTTTGGTTTATCTGCTTAATTTTTTTTTTCCTTGTGTTGGTTTCTAAAAAAGGTAACATGATGACAAGTTTTTTCATTTCATTTTTAGATTGTTTATATAAACACCTCTTCTGAAAAGTATCTTTCATTTCAATGTCAAGAAGGCAAACACAAAGGTTCCAGTATCTGCTGGAGTTTCAGTTAAGTAACATGTTGTTAACAGGAGTGATTTGCTGCTGCCATCTGGTGGAGAATAAAGGATCGTGCTGCTATAAGAGGCAATTAATTCAACTCGAATGTGCTTTCCTTGCTTTTATTTAGGAGGATATTGGCTTTCATAAGCCCACAGTTCATACAAAAACATATTAGTACATTTCTACTCCTAATGCATTGCCAGCATTCACCCTCTGATATATCTGTGGTAGCCAAGATAGCGTTATGACACACAGAGAACGAGTTCATGCATGTATCTGGACAGGTTATTGTGCGAATATGACCAAAGGGGTCATTGCATGTTTGTGCAGCTATTGCACTAATATATAAAACTAAACTTGCATATTGAACATCTAAACTACAGTTTGCAACCTGAGAACAAATTCCTTCATAAAAACATACCACTGATGTGCTGAAGAACACTAAAAAGATCTTTTCAGGATGAAAGGACAGGAAAAGATTTTGCTTTTGATAATCTTGAGTAAAAAGTGCAAAAAGGTATTTATAAAAGAGGAAAAAATAATGATAACAAAAGCATAGATCTGATGAGTTTTAGCTCTGATAAAAATGTGGTTAAAAGTTTAAAGAACTGCAAAAAAGACATCCTTATTTAATAAAATACATGTTTAGCTGCGACCATGCAATTGCATTCTCTATTATTTCTGTAATACTGGGAGAGTACACACCAATAAAGCTGAGATGACCTATTTTAACCCAGTGTGAGCAAGCTTAGTGGGAAAACCCACAAAAAAAAACTCACGTCGTGCAGATTTACAGTTTTCGACTAAACAGCAGAGAAGCATCAAAGTTATTCAACAATGAAACTGATTTGACTCTCAGAGCTCTCTGAATAAGATGGATGTTTAACATAAGAATGAGAGGATGACTGATGATCATCATGAAACCCAAGAATGGAAGGAAAAAAACTAAGTTTAGCAGCTCTATTCCAGAATAGCATAAAATATAAGTTTCAGCTGTGCTCCTTTTATTTATACAATGGTTTTATTGTCTTTACTATCCAATACAAAACTCATGTAAAAAATTACACTTTTTGTTCTTTTTTTCTCCAGCATTTTTTAAAGATATGTTCAGGTAAAACTTTGCCAGTAGTTACCATCCTTCTGGCAGCAGGCAACTTTTTAAAATCAAGATTAGTTGGTCCCAGATGATGCCAAAACCAAAATGGGTTTCTATCACCTTAAAACAACTCCAGCAGCTTTATTGATCCGAGCTCCGATTTCCTACATAACATGCAGTGAGTTTTCCTCCATTATTGTTATAAACACGCTTTTAAAATGGAAATTTAAAAAAAGAAAGAAATTAAATTTTGATAAAAAATTTTAATTAAAAAACTTTTTTATGGGCAGTCGTGGGTGAGCGGTTAGGGTGTCAGACTTGGATCTCAAAGGTTACCGGTTCGACTCCTGACCCGCCAGGTTGGTGGGGGGAGTAATTAACCAGCGCTCTCCCCCATCCTCCTCCATGACTGAGGTACCCTGAGCATGGTACCGTCCCGCCACACTGCTCCCTTGGGGCGCCATTGAGGGCTGCCCCCTTGCACGGGTGAGGCATAAATGCAATTTCATGGTGTGCAGTGTTCACTTGTGTGTGCTGTGTCACAATGACAATGGGAGTTGGAGGAGTTTCCCAAAGGGCTTTCAAAAAACTTTTTTATATCCAGGTTTCCAAAAAGTTTAAGTTAAAAAACAAACCACTGGACTTTGTTTTCCAAGTTTGAAGACATTTTGCTTCCCATCCAGAACGCTTTCTCTATTCAAAATGTCTGGATTAGCGTTGAGTTCCAGGCTTTTATAGAGTAGCTAACATTCCTATTGAAACTGGAAAACCAGCTCCACAACCTAATAATGGGAGTCTTTGAAGTTGTTATTGGCCTGAAATATTTGATACTGGTCTATTTCTCTGAAAAGGCAGTCATTGAGGGTCATCGGGAGTTGATGGTATACTCCCATCACTATGCAGGAGAACAAAAAATCTCGCCAGGTCAGCCAGGCCAAAAACAACCCTCAATGACTGCCTTTTCAGAGGAATAGACCAGTATTGGGTATTGCAGGCCAATAATGACCTAAACGACTCCCATTGTTAAGGGGTGGAGCTGAATTTCCAGTTTCAATGTGCATGTTGTCTAAATGCTGGTTTATGCTCTGAAAGCAGGTCGTCTGCACATGTGTCACAGTTAACGTAGATATGCCCCCGCCCCTTCCGCAGACACTGCTGCACCTCTCCGAAATTTTAGGTGACTGCAGACAGGAGGCCTCTGATTGGTCAAATCGACATCCACTCTACACTATGCGTATTTCCTGTTTGGTGCCTTACCGGCTTGTTTAGTTTTTATGACCACTGTTGAGGTTGGAGCATTAGAAGAGCGAGGTGTGTGAGAACACTGGGACCCTTTTTCCACCTGGATACCCGCTCTGTTTCGCCCCTCTGCTGTCTGACAAAATTTCTCCTTGCGTTTTTTAGCTTCCTCACCGCCTCGGCCGTATCTAGACCCACAGCTAGTTCCTGATTTCCCCTCTTGCGTTGTGGAATAAAATAGGCCAGACCACGCTTCAAAATTGGTCATAAATCAAAAATATCTGCGACAAACTCACTGCGACACAGTGCTGCTGGAGGATAACCAGCCCTTAAGCCATTGCAAGGCTTTTGTTGGGCTAGTCTATAAAGCCTGGAACTCAACGCTAATCCAGACATTTTGAATTGAGAAAGCGTTCTGGATGGGAAGCGAAACGCCTTCAAACTTGGAAAACAAAGTCCAGTGGATTTTGTTTCCTTTTTGGACCATGACCTGGCTGACTGAGAAGCTCCACCAGCATATCCAGATTGATTAGCTTTTTCTTTTATTTCCACAAAACATCTTCTTAGCTTCCAACAGTAATTGAATAAAATTTAATTCATTGATGATAGCCACATAGAAATACTGTTGTGAAAAATTAAAATTTTAACATGTTAGTTATGTTATATAAGACTCAATGAAATCCCTGACAGGGCTTAATCTTCATTAAATCCTAAAGAGGTTTATAATGTGCTTTCTATGCCCATGATATGTTACTGTATCCACAATAATCTCTATTGCATGGATCACAATCTAACCCGTATTCCTGTGACTTTCATTGAACAAACAGCAATAAGGAAAACTGTTTTATCTCCTGGATCTCATCATGTTACACGATGCAGGCTATCCTTTCAGAAACCTTCACCAGAGTCAGTCACTGCAGTGTCGCAAATTTTGTTCCTCTGTGGCCCCTGGCTTTGGTGCCATGGCTGCTGACAGGGACGGAGGAGGAAACATGCGGGTCGAAGGTGGACCTGGGTGTATGTGAAGCGGCTCGTTTGTGTTTATGAGAGCGAGGTTTGCTGGGAAGCGGAGGAGAAGTACTTCCATATGTCCTGGAGTTATGGTGGGTCCTCTGGGAAAGCTCCAGTGAGGGGTCAGTTTTCTGTGCAAGGCTGTCGTCTGGAAAGGGCAGCGCTGTCTGAGGTTTTAGCTGAGGACACGAGGTGGTCAGCAGGGGAGAGAGCGCCGCTGACTCCAGCAGACCTTTAGTTCCCTGTGTGCACTGTGGAAGGGAATGGAAACAAAAGTCAAGAATGAAGGAATAAGTCAGTCAAAAACAGATTAGTTTGACTGTAATAGTAGCGCTCTAATAGGAATAATGATGAAATTATCCCATTAATGCTATAAAATGTATATTATTCCGACTTCACTAAGTCGACTGCAGTGAAACTTTGGCAGCAACACAAAACTTATGGTTTTCTGGTGACATGTCACAATGTTGAGGTCATCTTACAGAATGATGGGATGATCCTTTTCAATTCAATTTAATTCAGTTTATTTATATAGCACCAATACACAACACATGTCATCTCAAGGCACTTAGTGCACCAGATCATCCAGTCAAATTGATGCAGTTTTCTATCTAAGGAAAACCAGTTGATTGCATTGATTAATTGACTCCAAGGCAATCCCTCACACTAAGCATGCTTGTAGCGACAGTGGAGAGGAAAAACTCCCTTTTAACAGGAAGAAACCTCCATCAGAACCAGGTTTAGTGTGGAGTTCAATGAGACAGAAGAAGAGATACAAAGGGCAACTGTAAAAGGCGGCCCCGTCCAGGAAACACACAGCCAGGCAGACGAGGTCCGAGCCAACTGCCATGTCAGAGGATGAAAAGAGCACATCCAGCCAGTCACAGTCAGAGAGACAGGACTACACTGGAAAAACAGGCTGATCTCCAGCTAAACATGAAAAAACGAGGGGAAGCTACTATGAGAAAAAGCAGAGAGAGCAGAACGTTAGAGATTGAACTAACAGATTCTATAGAGTGGGAGAATAGAAGTAGAATGAAGCAGAATGATGAAATGGGGGTCCCTATGTCCTCTAGCAGTCTAAGCCTATAGCAGCATAACTATAGAGATAGCTCAGGATACCCTTAGCCACTCTAACTATAAGCTTTTCCAAAAATGAAATTTTTAATCCTACCCTTCAAAGTAGACCGGGTGTCTGCCTCACGGACTAAAACTGGTAGTTGGTTCCACAGGAGAGGAGCCTGATAACATAAAAATCTTTTGTTATCAGCACAGAAGAAGCTGTTTTGACAGTTTCACTGAAAGCTACAGGGGGAGCAGCTAATAGCTGTTCTACCAACAGATTCCTTCGTTCAGCTTTCTATCTCCTCCAGAGTGACCGCAGGTCTAATACTACTTTCACACCTAATGAAAAAAGTTTTTCATTTTTTATGCTTGTCCACTTAAAGGTCAGACGGGCCTTAAGGGCATCTTTGATGCTCCTGCACCTTGTCCAGTAAAGTGTGTCCAGACGTGTCTGCTGCTCCTGTGTTCAATGGCAGAGAGCGGCTTTGCTATATTTGCTGTGATAAGCTGGCAAAAAGTAGTTTTAATGTTTTTTCAAGTGAAAAATTCCACCTTAAAACCTTGTCTGCTCAGTCACTTCATCAAGATTATGACCCTGCCTTAAAATATTATTTTGCTGCTCAGACCCCACATACCCCTGAGAGGCTCAGGGTGCCTCAGGCCAGGTCACCTCCTGGGGGGTGGGGTTTCCAGTACGTTTTTCGTGGTAGAAACTGCAGGCACCAGAATAATAAAAGTGGACATATTTTGCCAGCAGGTTTGGACATTAGTTCATTTAGGCGTTAATAAACTGTTTCAGAGGAGTGATCATAGCGATCTGGATCAGCAGTGGTGTGTCTGTCTCTCTGCCAGCTCCCAGATCAGCTTCTCTGATTGGTTGTTTCTGCGCATCGGGCAGCAGAAGTTCAATTTTTCCAGCTACAACTAGTAGAACTCTAGAAAGGAGCTTGTAGAAAAATACATTAACTAATGTATTTATATTTTAAATATAAGAAAAACAAATGCTTTGTCTTATTTATTTATTATTTATAACTTATTTAATATTACTTATTTTAAGTATAAAAATGCTTTTTCAATTGGCAGATTATCTTATTTACCTACTAAAATTAAGGTTTAATACACCTATATTAAGGCATTTCTACTTTCTAATTTTTATACAGTCAGATAGATAGATAGATAGATAGATAGATAGATAGATAGATAGATAGATAGATAGATAGATAGATAGATAGATAGATAGATAGATAGATAGATAGATAGATAGATAGATAGATAGATAGATAGATAGATAGATAGATGGATAGATGGATAGATATTTTTTACAGGTACTTTTTGTATCTCTGCTTCTGTCTCCTTGAACCCCAGTCGGCCTCGGCAGATGGCCGCTCACACTGAGCCTGGTTCGGCTCTTACTGTTTAAAGGGAAATTTTCCTCTCCACTGTCGCTACAAGCATGCTTAGTGTGAGGGATTGCCTTTGAGTCAATGAGTCGATACAATCAACTGGTTTTCCTTAGAGAGAAAACTTTGAATCAATTTGAATAGATGATCTGGTGAACTGTAAAGTGCCTTGAGATGACATGTGATGTGAATTCACGCTATAGAAATAAACTGAATTGAATTGAAAGTTGAGAAATGTCCACCAGTATTCTGTCTCCCAGAAAAATAGTATCAATTTGGTCTGTAAGTGGACAACGGATGTCAGTTATGTCATTGTGACACTTTTTACTCTTGTATAATTTTTTTGAGGTCCTACTTTTTCATATCGTTTAGCCTATTTCAGGTTAGTTAAAGTCACAATCAGGCTTGGGTGAGGAACTCAGAAGAAAAAAAAAATATGGTTAATCACAGCAGATATCTGACTTCCCAGATGGTTTAGATGCTTTTACATATTAAATCATCAGCTTATCTTTGGTTGATATTGATTGAATAACAGATGAAATTGGTGAAGAAGCAAGTCGTTTTGTATGTCATTGCTGTGCAAAATAAAGTGCTGAAACTCAATGCTCTTATTCATGCATCACGGCGGTGCTGGTGCACAAGCATGCAGGACAGGCAGGGAGACGACAGCAGATCAACATACTGCCCCTCCCTCTGGTCTAAACATGCTTACCATGCTCAGGCCTCATCATTCCTGCACTAAAAGCAGCTTTTTAGCCAGCGCAGACCATTGCAAAGTCCTGACATTTCTCCTCCTGATGATAGTGATGGGACACAGGCATAGGGACACACCATATAGAGCAGAGTGAGTCTGGGCTCAGCTGAATACACGCATAATGAGACCGAACTGAAGCTCTGGGATTTTATCCTTCCACGTGTGAAAGGTGCAGATGTTATTCAGGATGGAAACGATGAGGATGGATGAACTAAACAATGAGAAATTAATTTACAGAAAGGATGCAATGAACAAAATGTTTATAACAGATTTGTTTGTACAGTTTCAAACTGTTGGGTTAATTAATTGAACATAAGTTATTCTACTTTAATCATATTATACTTACACATTTTGTTATCTCTATCTTACTCATATTACAAAGAGTGTTAAAACATTTAGTTTTGTTTGCTGTGTCATTAATGTTTTTTAAGTCTGTGCAGGAGGGATGTTGACTGCGACTGCTGTTAACAGATGTCGTTAAGGGTGTGGAGGAGAATGGAGAACTGTGCAACTAGATAAGGAGAGGGGTTCTCCTTATCCTCTGATGTTGTATGATGTTGTATGATGTTGTACGAAAATTCTGGTTTCAACTGGGTTCTGTTCCCTCCCCCTTTAGCGGTTGAAACCACATTGTAATCAGGGCGTTTCTTCAATAAAGGGCTTGGAGAGCAGATACTGCTTCAGAGTGGGTTTGAAGTTGTAACTGAATGCAGTTTCTGATCCCCTCTCCTTGCAAGTAAAATATACTAAATTCTCTGTGTCATTCTTTGTGCAGGTTGCTGAATAAGGTGTTTGGTGTTTAAACCTAACATTAATTGGTCCTTCGAGCCGGATTGCAAGATACCCGACGACCCCCAGCAGGTGAGTGAGATCCAGATAAGCCTGCGGCCGCAGCAAAGAGACCCTTTACGGGACTGGTCTCTCCCTTACAAGCTGGGGTCCGACGGTTGAAGCATTTCGAGGACGCAGAGAATTGTGAGTAGTTTTTCTTTTAATAAGGAGTGAGTGAATTATTGGAAGAAAAATATATAAAATATAAAAAATTTATAAAAATATAATAATATAAAAAAAAAGAAAAAAAAGATCGAAGTGAAGGGCGTGGGGTCACGAGATTCCCCTTTTGAAGTCCTCTCAGTGTGGGGTCACGAGATTCCCCTTTGCAAACAGTTTAAACCTCGTGAAGGACGGCGGTGTCCTCTATCTTAAATAGTTAAATTCCGCATGGGGTAACGAGGTCCCCCTTTTGTACTAAAACCCTGACAATTCTAGACTCTATCAGGTAAAATAGAAATTTTAAAACAGTTAAAGTCCGCGGGAGGGCAGGCTCCCCTAGTTTGTAAGGGCAGGCTCCCCGAGTTGTAAACTAGTTAAATTCTGCATAGGATAGCGGCGTCCTCTGTGTTTAAAATAAGTAAACAGAAATAAAGTAAAAGTTAACTGCGCAGTGAGTGTGTGTGTGTGTGTGTGTGCGTGTGTAAGGAAATATAGATATCACTAGATATCTGTATTTCATACCAAAAAGACAAGGGTTAAATGGTGAGCTTTTGTGGATGTTTGTAGACAAGAAAACTCCACCTGTAAGGGTTGAAGTGAGTTTTACCACAAAAAGTCGTTGATCACCATCTTGTCTGAAGCCCCAGTGTTTAGAACACGACAGGTGTTGAAAACCCACTGGGCCCAAATTTAGTTCAAAATGGGAAAGGGGCAAAGTAAAGAAAAACAGAAGTTATTGGAGGAACTCCAGTGTAAAGACTGGAAAGCAGTTGAAAATGATGACCCATGGGCGGTAGAGCCGTTGTGTTACTGGATAAAAAACTACGGTTTTAATGGTAAATTGAGCACCACAAACATAAAGGAATTGCAGCAAAAAATAAAAACAAAAAGCAAAAATAAAGACACTTTGATGGCAAAAGAAGGTTACATGCAAACCATGGTCTGGATGAAATTAGCAGGACAGAGAGAAGAGGGAGAGCGTGGAGTTAAGAGAGGGAGAGAGGAGAGACAAAGAAAAACAGTAGAAGGAATTCCCTCT